AGCACAAAATCCAGTCTTATGCAGTCCGAACTTTTCTCAGCCATTTATCGTTCAGTGCGACGCTTCGAATTTTGGTATTGGCGTTGTATTATCACAGACAAATGTTAAAGGCCAATAATATTTCTTAGCAAAAAATTTCACCTACTAAACAGAAGTACAGTACAATCGAAAGGGAGTGTGCTGCCATTGTCTTTGCAGTACAAAAGTTAAAAAATTCTACCTAGATGGACCTCATAAGTTCATTATTCAGACTGATCATAATCCTCTAGTACGGATGGATAAAAACACTGGGACTAATCCTAGACTATTACGATGGTCTTTGATCTTACAACCTTTTAACTAGTTGCGCATAAAAAGGGGAAGCACCATCCAAGTGCTGACAGTTTAAGTCGTTGTATCCAAACATCTTACAACTAAAATACACATTCTAGGAAGTTTAAAACTTCATTGTTAAAATTTTTGTAATATAGAATATTACATTTTATATGTTTATTTAAAATGCTTCTCTGAAAGCACTCGTACTCATTTGGTCAGGTATCTAATTGTATTTCTTACAGATATGCTTGAACTTTTTCTCTGGTTTAAAAAAAAAAAAAAAAGTATTAAAGTTCCCCGTGAGGGAAGGAATTTAAGTCTGTAACCTATACACTACCAAAATAATTCCACTAAGAAATGTAAATTACCGCAGACATTATCTGCAAACGATGCGCGCGCTTAAAAATGTTTTCAGTTATTCTGTAAGTTTAGACTAATAAAGTTGGTTGTTCATTTAAAAATGGCTAGATTTCTTTAAAACTTTATTACAATATGTATACTACCCGGCTTGGTGAGCCAAGTTTTTTTATTCTTATATGTTGGTTAATTGCGAGTTTTTGCTTAAAAAGGGACTGATTATGTTATTCTTATGTTATGGTTAAGGTTTTTTTTGCCTTTAGTTAATCTGCATGCAATAGCTGTAGAATTATCAGCAATTTGGAGAGTTTAGGTGCAACTAAGCCTAACGAGGCCACCATGTGTTTACATTTGACACCGTTAGTAGAACAGTGAATTAAAGTGAGAACTGAATTGATTAAGATTCAAGAGTAGTTTTCTGGAGCGTTACGCACATTCATTTCTGCGCGTTTTGAATCCAAATTATTTAAATTAAAAAAATTTCCTTTAAATTATTTTCCTAATAATGCTAATGGATAATGTATTCCAGGGCCGTGTGAAACTGCTTCGAGGGCCGTCCACTTTGAAACCGCTGCTTTAAAGCAGAAAAAAATTCTATTTATTAAAACAAAACGACCTTTCCTTACGGTTATAAAGCATGAAAAGGGGCTTAGCAGTTATCATTCTCATAAAACGGTTTTCATAAACTTAGAGTCTCACCTTCTTTGGAAGCATAAACTACTGTCTGTCTACGGTAAGAACACCTCCCGCCACGGTGTCTGGCGGGTGGCGGTCGCTATAGCAACAGGGCTAGTATATTTCAAATAGGGACGAACCAAGGGTTGCTTTATTGTTATTTTGTTTTTGGCGACTGTTGGCTGAAGGGAAAAGAGTTTATCATTCGTCTTCTTGGTTTCATTCCAGCTGCACGCATCTTTTCTTAAGCCTTATATTATTACTATTAGCTATTTTTATTCTCGTTGTTATATCTTTTGTACTGGTATTTGTTCAAATTTGCTTCTATTTAGCTTGATTTTCGTAGTGCTTTGTTAATCGCCAATTTTTTAAAATGCCCTTCCAGTTTAAGAAAGGTCAACCTTTAAAGTCTCAGGCACGTCAAATCGTGTACAATGTCGCAGAATTTTGCGCTTCTGAAGCTTCGGCGAACTCTTTAGTAGTTCCTCTTCCTCAAGTTTTGAAGAGAACATCGCAAGCTACTGGAGTATCGGAGTATACAATTAAAAAAATTAAGCGCGAAGTATCAACACGCCTGGAAAGAAACGTAAAAGCCCTGCTAATCATAAGTGCGAAATTGACGATTTTGACAAATGCGTTATACGGCAGACTATACAAGACTTTTACATCAAAGAAAAGAAAGTGCCATCTGTGCGGAAATTATTGCCTGTCTTGAGGCAAAAAATAGACTTCCCGTGGCAAAAAGACTCATTGTGCAAAGTTTTGCGTTCGATGAATTTTCGCTGGAAGAAATGTGTTAACAAAAGAAAAAAAAAAAAAAAAATTCTTATCGAAAGACCTCACATTGTATTTTGGAGGAACAATTATTTACGCGAAATGAGGAAACTCAGAGCAAGTGGACGCCACATCGTTTACATCGATGAAACATGGATTGACAGCAATTTAACTTTTAAGAAATGTTGGCAGCATGATACGGTTTTGGGCGCACAGATAAATGTCAGTTCCAAAAATAGACTGATTGTTGTCCATGCTGGCTCTTCCGCAGGATTTATTCCAGGTGCCCAACTTATATATAAAGCATCAGCTCAAAGCGGGGATTACCATGGGCAAATGAACTATGGAAATTTTGAAAAATGGGTGTTGGAAAAGCTTCTTCCAAATTTACGACCTCAAAGTGTGGTATGCATGGATAATGCCCCGTATCACACAAAAATTGAAGATCCGACACCCACGAAATATGCTACAAAGCAAACAATGGTAAATTGGCTGATGAAGAAGACGATATGCTGCGATCCCAAAATGCGAAAAGCGGAACTGTTCAGCTTAATAGAATGCAATCGTCCTAAAAAAGTAATATATAAAATTGACAACATCATAAAGGAAAATGGGCATCATGTTGTGCGTCTCCCTCCTTACCACTGTGATCTAAACGCAATTGAATACGTTTGGTCATCAGTTAAAAGACTGATCAGGGAAAGGAATGTGACTGGGGACTTAAGCTTGGAAAATTTGAAAAATTTAACACAAAAAGCTTTGGATGAAGTCACTTCTCAAGAATGGCAGGCGCACTGCAACCACGTAGAAAAACTTGAAAATTATTATTGGGACAAGGACGAACTTTTAGAAGAGATAGTGGATGGATTAATAATTCAAACTGGCAGCAGCGATTCTGATTCTGATTCAGAAGAAACGGAATCTTGCGACAGTGACTCAGATGACTTTTCAGATGTTATACCTCTATAAAAGTCCTCCACGAAGGCATTCCTCTTCTTCATCTGATAGCTTTGTCAAGTTGTAAGGATATTTCTAGGTTCAATATTTTCTTTGCCACTATGTAAATGAAAGATTACCAAAAGTGGGCAACAATGAGCCTTCGGCAGAGGCGAAACCCCCCCGTGGATAATAAAGAACACTGAATGGTTGCTTCATTTCCCATTACTGTGTTCTTGGGAACCCACAAGCCATGGTATAATTTGCTTAAAAAATAATTTTTAATCTTTAATTGAAATTAAATAAGTTTTGTTTTATTATGAAAATATTAATACAAAATTATATTAATGGAACAATGCTCACTGCAGTTATAAAAGCCAAATTTTGTATAATTATATAAATTTCGTATAATTTTAAATATAAAATAGGTAACTGAATAATTTAAGAGACCTTAATTTTGTTCTGATTTTAACATTTTATTATGTTACAAGCTATTACAGTGTCTATAAAAAGCAGCATGATGCATAAATGGGCGCTGGTAATTAAGAGGCCCAGCAGCGGCCCCCCCCCCCCCCCCCCCCCCCCCCCCCCCCCCCCCCCCCCCCCCCCCCCCCCCCCCCCCCCCCCCCCCCACCGATCGGAAAGTAAAGTCACTGAACACTTGTAGTTCGGTCCGAGGTTTGAATCCCGTGAACGGGCTGGCTGCATGGGTGTTTTCCCAAAGTGTAACATGTATACGAGGCAGTTTTCCTTAGCAAGCCCTCCACGAATGCATCCCTCCTCTTAGGCATTTAACCCTGGAGGCTTTTCGTAATCATATAAACCAACCCAAACCACTGGTAATTAAGTAAAAACAGTTTTGATTTTAATTTACCTTCGCTTCCTTTCGTCATTCAATTGACCAGCTTTTGGTTTAGTTTGAAGGTATGGGAAAAGAAGAAATGTTCGCAAAAAGTATTTATTGAGAGCGTTTTTCTTCAAAAATAAGCACGGATTTTTAAATGCATTTCCCTACAAGTTATTTTGATATATTTTTACTCATTGTACATCTAGAAAGATGGCAAATTCAGCGACTTGCACCTCACTCGGCAAAATCAAAGACCGTTCCTTAACTGCAAAAACTTTATTTACGCCATCAATTTTCATTTTCGGAAATTTAATGTCGGGGTCGACGCAAAGGGTCAACAAGCATTTTACTTGAAACTAAAACAAAATGTGAATATCGCCAAATCATCTTTAAATATGCCAAGGTGGCAAACTGAGAAGTAAATCTTCAAGACACGCCTACGAAAAATGGGTCACGGCTCGTTTCTATGGCAACAGACAGCCGCAGACAAACTGGCGAGAGCTGTTCTTACCGTAGACAGACAGTAAACTAGACCCAGTTTGAACTGACATTATTGGTATGGCCAGTAAACAGACAGAGATGTACGAAGAATGTAAAAAAAACCCCTTTTATTAAACTCAGATTAATTTAACAGAAAGCCCTTCTTGTGCTTACAAACCAGCTATGAATTATGGCGTAAATTAAAAGTAATGAATTCAAAGTAAAGCTAAGTCGTAAGTAGGTAGGCCTCTTTTCAACCATCATCCGTGATTTTAGTAGCGGAGTTATGGCAACGGTATTCAATATCGTTTCGGGATCCACGGCGGGTTTTTAAAAGTCAAATATGTAATACATCCTGCTTTCAAAACTTACATTTTTTGTTTTATCTTCTCTTCCTTTGTGCTAGTTCTTAATTTTTCTGTGATGCTGCTATGAAAGAATCCCAATTCTGACTAGATAGTAGATTCACTAGAGCCGCATCCCATAATTATGAATGTTTATAACTCAGTAAATTTTTTAAATCTGAAATTCGAAATGGAAAAAATTATACTCTTGTGCTTTCGCTATGTAATGTGTTTTTCCCTTTATGTTGAAATGCTTTCTTTTTATTATTCAGTTTTATGATCCTGAAAGCTCCCGATATGAAGTACCTATGCCCAAAGTTCCTGTACATTCATCACCTTCAAATCTTGATCAAAATGAACCAGAAGTATTTCTGTACTCTGTTACGTATGACACAGTTAATAAACCATTTGCTGTTAAAGTTCGACGGTCGGCGACAGATGCTATTGTGTAAGTTCAGTCATCTTTGTATTTCTTCCCCTCCTTTTTTAATTCCCCACCTTGCTTTCTTATTTTTTTGGTACTCTCAGGCATGGCAGTTTACTTAAAGGAAACACACTAATTAAGTAACTGAAAAATTAGCATTATTTTTGTGCTTTGAAATTCAATTAATATAATTACTGTCATTCTTAAGTAATGTTCTACTTTTTATGTAATTGTTTATTTCAAGCCCAATTTGAAAGAACCTTGACTTTTTTAACTACAAGAATCTATAAATTTTGTTATAAATATTTTAATCAGTTCATCATAACTTTAAAATATTCCATGTAACCTTTCTAAACTCGTGTAAATGTATATATTTACATACACATATCCACACATGTATATGATAACTAGTTATGATATTTATTTAATAATGCAGTAGATAACAAGCTTATTATCTTGAGATACTTCCTTGATAATGCAGCCACTGTGTTTAGTTGCCAGAATTGGAAAATCTAAATGTCCAGATTGTAATGTGCAGATTTCAGATGTTGTCAAAGCCATATGTGGTAGCTGTTTTAACTAGGAAGTATTTATTACTAATAACAGTAAAGTGTTTTCATGCTTACTTGCTCTTTCTTTCAGTTTTGATACATCAGTTGGTGCACTTACTCTTTCTAATCACTTCTTAGAACTGACAACTAAATTACCATCTTCTAAAATTTATGGATTGGGACAACATATGCAAAATCAATATCATCATGATTTCAGATGGCAAACATATAACATGTTTTCCATGATTTCAGATGGCAAACATATAACATGTTTTCCAAGAAAACAGAGGTAATTTCACATTATAATTTTGTTATCCGTGTTATAAGAGAACTTGTTAAAAATCTTGTAAAATGTCATGATACTTTCTAATTATTCGCACCCCTACAAATAATCATCAGTTTTTGGTAACTTTGGGAATTGGAGATAAAAGTGTTTCTATTTTTAGGGGATAGGTATTTTATAAGGAACAACAAATTATATGAACAAAAATCTTACAACCAGGGAAAACTGTTTTAATAAAATAACAGTTTAATATAAAACTTGTAAATATGCTGTGTATTCAAAAACCCTGTGGCACATGCATGTGTGGGTTTGTTATTGTCACATCATCATGCATGTTCTTGAAAATATGCACAAAACATGGCCGTTATACTGAATATTGAAACCTGAAGTGTGGATAATCAGAATGTACCAATATAATGAATGCTAATTTATGCAATTAATGTGGGAATGATGGTAAAAGTTAATTATCAGTTTCATGTTGGCACCTCTGGCAATGCTTTTTAACCCTCTGAGTTGTATGACTTTTTTGAATCTGTGCATAAAGACTTGTATTGAAACAGCTTTTATTAGCTCAATTTTGTGTAATTACTTATTTTAGGCCCTGTTTTTATAAATTTACATTCATTAAAATGATATTTAGATCATTAAAGGAAAGAAGAAAGCGGTCTCTTCAATTGTAAGCCAATATATACCAAGTGACAAAAAAAAATCTCATAACTGAATATAGGCAATCATGTCACTCAGAGGGTTAAAAGGATTGCCAGACTATAGATATTTATTGTTACCCCAATTTAAAAAACAAACTTTTATTATTAAATAAGGCTTATATGATACATTAAGAAGTAAAACACTTATATTTTTTACAAAATCCTTCTATAATATTTTTTGCGCTGTTTTCTTTCCAAGCACACAGTGATCTGTTTTCACTTGAAAAAAAAAGTCAGAGAATTGACTTCACATTGTTTTCCTGCCATCTGCTGGATGTATCTCATCACTGTAAGCAGAACATTCAGTCTTATTCAAGATGAAATCCATTCTCACAGATCACTGTAACACAGATATTTACCCCTTTCATACAGTTTTAAAAGTAATAGCATTCAAAAGCAGAAACAAGTTACTAAAAGAGAAATATCATACAATCTGACTGATTTGCATTATTAAAAAAATTACATTGTCAGAATAAAATTGCTACCGAAGAATTAAGAAAATAAGGTTACCAAATTAAAATTGATATTTCACCATAACATTGTCAAATTTGGTGTTCTGCTACTTCACTTTAGCTGGGAATGCTTTATGCAAAACTAATAAACTATAGTGTATTTCATATTATGTAATATATTAAAACATTGTACAGTACAAAGTCCGTAATCCGGACGTCCATTATCTGGAATGATCTTTAATCCGGATGTTCATTATCCGGAATGATCTATAATCCGGACTTCAAAGCCATAAACTTACGCATGCGCGTAAAGCCAGTAAAATGTTTACCCATGCGCACTTCCGATAGTGAAGAAAGTAACAGCGAACGTTATTGAAAACGAAAAAATTTTGATTCGCAAGTTGGTATTCTCGACACAGCAATTTCAGGACCTTGAATAGTGGAACTTTGTAACTGAACAAGAAATTATGTCAGATGGCAAACATATAACATGTTTTCCAAGAAAACAGAGGTAATTTCACATTATAATTTTGAATTAAAGAGAAAGTGTTAGCACAAAAATGAGGCAACTTAAACTACTTACATTGAAAGAAATGTTTAATAAGGTAACAAATAAATATTAAGCTTTTTTTTTTATTTAAATTTTGATACTTTTTAGATCATAATTGCTCTTTATTTCATAAATTACGTTTTCATATTTTTAATTGCATAAGTTCTGCATGCCATCTTACCAGATTTAAATTGATGATCTATAGTCCAAAAAAACCCCTAATCCGGAATCGCCGAAGTCCCGATGAGTCCGGATTACAGACTTTGTACTGTATTATAATAATTACACTTCATATTGTTAATATAATAAGATTGCAAGTACATAATATTAAACCATGTCAAAATTTTATGTATTATTTATTATTTTTTGAATGTTCAATTTAATACAAAATTATGTTTTTTTAATCATATTTACTAATATTTTGCATATTTTAACCCTGCAAGCATTATCGATGTGGCTTCGAAACTTAAGAGTTCTCCAAAATGTCATAAATAAGTATATTTTCTTGATTATAATTCCAAAATGACCTTTGTACCATGATTCCTTTTCTTGTAATATACATCCATCTCAAAATCGGATGAACTCGGTGCTGGCAGATTCATTTGTAAGGAATTGGAAAGCCTTCCTTCTGAGTGAAATTTTGCATCTGTAACCCTTAAAGGATTAAATGATTTCAATTGCTTGAGGTTACTTCATTTAAAACTTTTTGAAAAGCAGTTTCTATTAGGACAAATGAGGAGTATTACTACTTTATGTGTCACAGAAATTTATTTTCTTGAATTTACATAATAGAAATTTATTTTTGGCAAATGACTTTTCTTAATTTTAACAGTTAAAAATAAATAATTTTCTTAAAACTTAAAATACAATAAAGTTTAATACTTGATTTCATTTTTACATTTAAATCTTGATACAGTATTTTTAAAAAACCATAATCATCATCCATATTGCGGTGTCTGCTGATTTTAAGCTTTTGATGGTCGTTAACGATCTCAGCTCGCATTCCAGTTACACATTGCAGTGTGTGCAAACAAACACAGCTCACATCACAGATTTATGAATGACAGATATCACTCATACTTGGGAAGAAAAAATAGCATGATCTCGCAGCCACGAAGAGGTTAATTAAAATATCAAATTATGTGAAATACTTGTCTGTAATCATATCTTACCTGAATATGGGATGTTTTTAGAAGTATGCAAGTCGTTTAAAATGATTTGCTTAAAGCTGAGGTTTTTAGACTTTGAAAATAAGAAGAGATTTGAAGCTAAATGGAAAATACCTGTTTGTGACAGATTATTCTATATTTGCATTTAATCCAATGCTTAAATTATGCCAGACCTTATTTCCAGTACATCTCAGTTTCTGAGATAATTTTTAATTATAACCACAGCTCACTGAAGCTCTAAATGAAAGGATTTTTAACACTTGTTTTATGTAACTAAATCACGTCTGCTGAAAATTATTTTTATCATGAAAATTTTATTTTAGTAATAAGTGAGCCTTAAAATTGTATTCTAACTTCTGAATACATACCTGTCTTTCCTCAGAAACAAACCTTGCACAGAGTTTCAGACTTTTAAAGAAAGAAAAACTCCCACCTACATGCCAAACTTCTTATTTTCAAGAAACGCAATAAATTTATGAGAATTGATAAATTTTTCATTCCTGAAAGTATTAGGAGTGTCATGCAGATCTTTTTGGAACAACATAAGCAAATACCGGAGATAAAAAATGTCAGTTGCACAGAGCCTTATGCTTTTTCTCAAATAGTCTTGAGATTCAGAAGAAAAGTTTTCCCTATAACATTTAGCTTGATAGCTAGAATAATATGGACAGAAGATCATAGTCAGGATGTATTGAAGTCTTCCTCTTTGTTTTCAGAAGGTGGTTAGAAAAAAAGGTTGAAGTGATCGAATCTTTGTTTTTATTTAACTATACATCCTCCCTCCATACATTTACTGTTTCTAACATTCTCTCTGTTCTCATTAATGATACTTTAACCAGTTTACATTTTTCACTTTATGTGTTGGAAAAAGAATGGTGTTTGTTTCTATCCTTGAAACAGTATCCTTTAATTAAGACACAATAACATGCCGAATAAATACTAATTCAGAAGTCAAACAACAAAAATTGTGAAAATTTTGTAAATATAACGCTGATTTTTGTTGTTTGACTTCTGAAACAGTATCCTTTGTTTCTATCCTTGAATCATCCTTAAAACAGTGCTTTATAAGGCATAACAGTTTATTTTAGTATATTACAGGCTTAAATTCATCTGGAGCCTGTTTCTGCCATTTCTTAGTTTTTGAGTGAAATTTTAATTCTAGCGAGTTCCAAATAAGATGAGGTCCAGTATTTTATTTTTAATGCTGTTTATCATTAATTTAATAGGTTTAATTTTTATATACCACTAAATTTGGGAAAACAGCAAACTTGCTTTAATTTTTAATAATTTTACTGTTTTGTTTATTTATTTTCATTCCTTTTCCTGATGAACTTCTATAGAGACTTTGGCACTTTTCATTTTAGAAATCGAGCCCTAGGTTAAATAACTAATGCTCTGCAACTGTCTTAAAATTTGATATTTGAAATTTTACTCAGTCACTGTACTAGGCATCTATCTTAAGGTTTCATCCTTGAAATATTGTATCATATTACATGCATACACAGATCTTTTTTACATTGTTTTAAATATTTAATATTTTATTTACCTTTAAAATACAGATTATGAATACAAATTTAAAATACAGAAAATGCTTTTTAAATTATTCTTAGACTGCTGAGTAGCTGTCATACTTTAATAAGAATATGATATTTTACACATATTATTGGGCTAAGTGACATCTTTTTAGTTGCAAATAAATGTGTTGAATTGCATTAAATAGCTGCGTCTTTTAATTACTTATATAACTATAAAAGAAGAACTTGTTTTAATGCTTTTGTTTATTCAAACACTTGTTACCTGTGTACAGAATGATAAACTGTTAAATGTTTAATAATGATGTAGCATGCAATCTACCACTTTTTAATTATTGATTTATTTTTAAGATGCTGCTGCTAAAATTGTTTATTGTTTTAATCATTTCTTTTTATCTCATGATCAAATATGAAAGTTATTTAATTTTTTATTTCATTCAGTTATTGTTGAATTATGAAACTAATGGAATATAGTACATCACATCACAAATGCAGTTGTGTTAGTAAAAGTAATGACTATTATGTAAAGTAATGGTCGTGCTGTGCGACATCCATAATGTGCTGTATTCTCTTGTGTATGAGCCATACTTTTTTCACAAAAAAAGCAGAAGAAAATCAGGGATGCACCCTATACATGTGAATGAGCTGAAATAGACACATACAAACGTGGTGACACATCAGCACATGTAGCATAGCGGCACTTATTTAACAATTGAGTATAAAATCCATTGCTGCTGGGTGCCAGTAGCTGCAATAATGATAATTTTTAGTAGTGCAGATAACTACTACTCTTGTGGTATTGGCTGTGACAATGAATAAGAAATAGTAAATATAGTGCTTTTGATTTACTTTTTCCATGTGAGCTGCTTTCAGACCTCTGAATGAAAAATTATTGTAGATGGCTATCTCTGGCTTATGCTTAATTTTTTAAAATTTAAGGTAAAAATTAAGGATGCGACTTGCACATGCGAGAATATGGTATGTGACCGGTGGACTTGTAGAAATGGTCATTTTGAACATCATTCCTGATTTTATTTTGTAAAATCATAAATAATTTTAATTTAATGGAGTTAAAAATTTAATAAGTTAATCAATGGAATCATTTTTATTTATGTATTCTTTAAAAGATTTTAGTGGTGCATTTAAGAAATAAATTACTAATTAAAAGTGATAGATTTCATACTGATTATTACCAAGGATTTTGCTACTTTATTCATCAAAGAAATGTTGAGAAACTATATATATATATAAAATTAAAGCCAGATAAGTACATAAAAAATGCTAGCTTTTGCATTAAAAATATTGAATAAATTATAGATTTCCTATATTGAGAAATGTAATAATTTTTAACTGTAACTGTAAATAGTTATCAAATTAGGAAAGCTGATTAGAGAAAGACAATCTGATCAACAGAAAATGTTTTGATACAGTTTGTAAGAAACTGAATTGATTAAATTAATAGTGTAACCTCCTGAAATTGTGTGATATGTAGCAATGAGATTGAGTACCTAACTGCTGCTTTCATATTTTCCTTTACAGTAAGTTGGAATAACTTTCTAAATATTTTTTCAACTGCCAGAAACAAGTAACAAAGAACAATATATTTATAAGTATTACCATATAATATTTTTTTTAGATATTAATTACTTCTGTGCTCTTAAATGAGAATATTTCAACCAAATTATTTATTGGGTTTGAGTTACATACACGGAATGAATGTCAATTTGTTTTCTTATAATCATATGCTTTCAGGAAGGTTCTACTGTGGGCATTCATCCTATGTATATGTGTGTAGAAAATGATGGCAATGCTCATGGACTTTTGTTGCTAAACAGCAATGCAATAGGTAGATACTTAAACTTTTTCTAAATACAATTATATTTGAAAGTGAAACTGATACTTACGGAAAATCCCGTCAACCATTTTTGCCTATTAAAGAAAAGATGCCAAACTACACAATTTTTTGCCAAAAATGGAAAAGTCTTCTTCAAACACTCTGGGTTTGGCGTAACTTTGATTGCACATGTTAGTTATTATTCTTGAGTAAAGACTTCTTTTTTCCTCCATATCATGCATTTTCAGGGTGGGTGGGGAAAGATTATTATTAGTTATTATTCTTGAATAAAGACTTCTTTTTTCCTCCATATCATGCATTTTCAGGGTGGGTGGGGAAAGATTAAAATTTGGGACCTGCCTATTACAGAAGAGCACGCTGTTGAATTACCAAAGTTATGGATGAAAATAATTGCTTACAGTATAAAATAATAATAATAAATAATGGACATTTGTAATGAAAAATTAAATATAAAAATAAATGATAATATAATAAATTGAAAGAAAAATAAGAATAGAACATTTTTTTGTATTTGAATTTTTTTTTGGGGGGGGGGGGGGGTCTACCATAAAATCTTTTCCCAAATTATAAAATATATTTTTAACAAAAAAAGATCATTTTGAGTAAGCAAAATATATAATTATTGCTGAATAAGTAATATTGTTTCTAAATACTATTGTTATACAAACTTCTGCTATTCAGGATAGACTTTCTGTACAGTTAGAAAATGTTCTTTTTGGAGAAAAAATAAGAGCATTAAATGTTTTTTATTAGAATCTGTGGTATGTTTATTATTTTATTTTTTATGCTTTATTATTATTTTCCCAGCTTTTTGGTAAGGTTTCTGGTATCAGAAAATTTGTGATTAATATTTTACTTTTAATGTTTCATAGATAAATGTTAACTGGTGATTTAAAGGAAATAAAATCATGGGAAATAGAATAGAAGAACTATTTGCATAATTTGCTTTTACACTTAATCAAGCCAAACTAACTGTAATATAAATAATGATAATTATTTAAAATAACATTAAGCTATAAACAGTTGCATTTTACATAACTTTACATTAGTAACTTTAATTTTACATTAGTAAACTGAAATGCATTACTTGAGCTGTAGTATAGTTTTCATGACTTAAAAGTATTATATAATTAAGTACATTCTAGTCTGATAAGTGTAATCATTTTAAGTTGGTTATGGACTTAAAATAATTGTTTTAAATTCATTTGAATTCTGCGGAAATATGTAGTTAAGCAGCATTTTGAGCAAATAGCTTAGTAATGATGACCTTAACAGAATGTACCTTTCATTGAAATAATTTCTTATAAAAAATGTCTGTCAGCTCTTTAAAAATTTCTTGACAGCTTTGAAAATTTTTAAGTCGATTTCGTGATTGTTTTTATTGTTATTAGAAATATAAGCTTCATCTATTTTTTTTTCTTCCTGTTAGAAACTTAATTCCAGTTTTTACTTTTCGTTTTTTACTTACTTTTCTTACAGAGGTTCAATTACACCCATCACCAGCAGTAACTTTTCGTGTTTTGGGAGGTGTGTTGGATTTTTTTTTGTTTCTTGGGCCTTCACCTGAGGATGTTGTTCAACAATATGCAGAAGTAACAATTGAAGATTAATTTTTATATTATTTTTACAGTTTTTTATTACCTGGATATGAAAAATATATCGAAAGCTTTAGAATAAGTCTTATGATAAATTAATTTATGAAGTAATTTGAAATTTATTGAATACTATGAATTTTCAAATTAGAATTATGATTTATATTTGAAAAAGGAATAAGTTTGTGAATATGTGTTTGACATATGTGGATATTATTTTTTAAAAATATATGTTCCTTCATAATTGACCATTTAAAATTGTCATCTTTAGGCTGTAGGCCGTTCTATTCTACCTCCATATTGGTCTCTGGGTCTTCATGTGGGAAGTTCTGTGTATCATGCCACCAAAGACATGAAAGAGCTTATTAACAAATTTAAAACAGGACGCATTCCATTAGTAAGTGTTTTTAATAAAAATTTATGTTTTTCTTATGTTTGCAGTGTTAATAAAGCAATTTTTTTGTTCTGTTCTGCTATGTCAGGTTTTGAGACTGATGAAGTAGGTGATTAATGGAAAATATTTAACTGTAATATCAATAGAACTGTTATGTCATATTTGTAATGCAAGAACTTTACATCAAAACCTTACCTAGTTAACTGTGTATGTAATTTTGCTTCTTATCTGTGCATATTGTTTCTTTATAGTATTGTTGCGTGCGTACGGGTTCGTTATGAAATGAATGCACAAATCCGATGAAAAATGAACAAAAATTTATTATTATCACAACAAAAATGCTTAAATTTTCTCAAATTATCATGCAGTATTACAATATCTCACAGTAGTTATCTTTTAACTACTCAAATGTCCAATAGAACGTAAATCAAAACAGCTAAAGAACGCTAATCCGCGAATTCGCTACAATCAACAACAGTAGTTTTCTAAACAACAAACAAACTAAGCAAACTACTACAAACTGAGATGTTTTCCTCCTTTTATAAGATTTTAAAATCACGCGCTAGAATTTTCCAGTACTTTCTCGAAATCAAAAAGAGATATTTATTATTTAATGCACGCGCTCTTGTATTTTCAATTTTCCGGCTTAGCTTTCTTTTAATATTCGTCACGCGCTGCACTGCGCGAGAAATAAAACCATTTAATTTATAATTAAACTAACATTAGCTTTTTAAATACAAATTCGTAACACTGCCCCCTTCCCAAGGACTGCACGTCCCGGGCAGTACAATCCCTGGACAGGAAGCTAAACTTACAACTGTGGCATAAATGCAACTGAGGCATAAAATTACATTACAATATCAAACATATATAACAATAAACAATAAAATACCTAAAAAAAAATGAAAGCAATACTAAATACAAATCAAATACTAAATACAAATCAAATAATCTAAATGCAAATCAAATACTAAATACACATTTAAAAAAAAAAAAGGACCATGGTCTGATACTATTTACAATTATTTACATTATGTACTATGGCCATAGTAAGAAGCTAACCTATCGTAATGGACGACTTTAGGTTTAGAGTTCGATGACTGACGGATCCGAACCACGACGTCATTCAGGCTGCTTCAGGACTGTATATGGACCATTCCGAAGGTGACTGTAGTTTAGTAAGAGTCCTTTTCCGTCGTGTTGGATTCCACAACCACACCTCTGTACCTCCTTCATTGGAATTCACGTGTCAGTAGATCTTGTGTCATATCGGGCCTTCATCTTCTCCGTCGCCAAGTTGACTCGCTTTCGTGCAAAGAAACGGGGGCATCCCCCTCAAACCGGGCCTGGACATCTTGGATGTGTTCCTCAGGCGATGAAGGCGCATCCGTAGGGCGACTAAAAGGCAGGCACAAGGCACAAGCAGACGAAGGTCTCGACCGAAGAGCTTCTGGGATGGAGATAGCTGGTAGTCTTGAGTTTCTTTTCGACCCTGTATGATTTCGGCAGCTTCCCAGCTCGATCTTTCGGACTAGGCGTCGACATTTCCAGGCGAGGATCCCTTTTGAGGATGGATAGTCATGCCATCAGATGCTGAAAGCAGTTTGTTGTTTTCAAGTCTAAGGAAAAATTGTATTTGCCTTAAAAAGTCCAATCCGAGTATGCATGGATCTGTGATATCCGCCACATAAGCCGTGTGATGGTAGGCGGCACTTCCAAATGTGATGTTACGTTTTAACTTCCCAGTTATGTCGATCTTATCACCAGACGCAGTCTGAAGGTTAAACAGGATGGCGTTCCAAATAAGTTTATCTTAAACTGTTCAGCTAAATCTTTCCTAATGATGGTAACATTAGCTCCTGTGTCAATGATCATATTGCAAGGAACTCTATCGATATTCCCATTAATGGACAGTCCGTTATGTTGCCACTCACTGTATAAATTTTAAGCGCTTTAAAAAACAAGGTTTCTCATTCTCTGGTACCCTCCATTCCTCGATATGGTCATGCATTTGTTTTCCTGCGTCGTTGCTTGAGAATTCTCAATTTTCGTACCCTGGGGTGTTCTGCAATTCCTTCGTACGTGGCCTTCAGTCCACAGTTCCAGCAGTTTGGTTTCTTGTCACTCCTTTTTCGTCCGAGGCATTTAATTGTCTGTTTCAAAATCGTCTTGTCTTATTTTCCGTGTTCTGGGGAGTTCTGCAGTTCCTTCGCACGTGGCCCAACACCGCAGTTCCAGCACTTTAGAACTGGTTTCTTTTCACTTCTGTTCCGTCTGAAGGCGTTCATTGTCTAGTTAAATCTGTTAGACGAAACGGTGACTTGAATCCCTGGCTCTGGACTTGATCAGCTCTGACTGGGTGGCGGTCTCGACGATGTCTTGCTGGGCTGCCTCGAATTTCATGGCGTACACTAGAGCGCTTTTCAAATCTTTACATCCGCCATTCGTAGAGCTTTCTGTATTTCAGGATCCCGGATGCCGTCGATAAGGTATTGCAAGGACAGGATTTCCCTTGTTTCTGTCGGGCATTTCGAAAAGGCGAGATGGGACAGCTTTCAACATCCGTTGGCGAGCTCCTGAAGTGTTTCGGTAGGCTTCTGTTGACGAAATTTTAATGGAGCCTGCTGTAGTCTTTTAAAACTTGTCCAAAGCGCAAGCTCCAAGGCGCCGGAGAGAGCTTCGAAAATCTAACCTTTTTTTTTGGAAGAGTCTGAAGGATATCCGCTGCGTCGACTCTTAAAGGAAGCGGCGAGATGACAGGCCTTAGCTTGGGAATCCATCCATTCGCATCTGCAACGATAGAAAAACTGTGTCTTGTACACTTGCCAGGATGGTCTTCCCATCATATGTGGATAGCTTCAGAGATGGACGAGCAGGCATCGGTAAGAATTTAAAATCATCACTCTTGCTCCCTGCCGTCGCTACGAATTTCTTTAAAGTTTCCATTCTTTGGCAACTGCAGAAACTCTTAATCAATTTGTTGTTCGATTTGGTGTTGGACCACAAACTCTTCCTTCAATTCGTTCCTCCACAGCCGAAACTCTCCCTTCTATGTTCTTTTACAGAAAAAACTTTTTTTTCTATTTCTTCTTTCACCGAAGAAACTCAAAAGAATTTTCTTCAATTTTCCAACTTTATTCAACTGTGTCAATTCTGCCTTCCATAGCTCAATTTATTTTCTATTATGCAGGTAATTTCTCTTTTCATTTCTTCTTGATATGCTTCAATCTTTTCTTGACCAGCTTGAATGGCTTTCATTTCGTCCTTAACGGATTCCTGGCCCAATTTCATTTCTTCTTTAAATGAGACAAAGGCTGATATTAACTGCCTTAATTGCTCTTCCATTGCTCTTGTTATTGGCATTCAAATTCCACTTCTGACACCAAAAATTGTTGCGTGCGTACGGATTCGTTATGAAATGAATGCACAAGTCCGATGAAAAATGAACAAAAATTTATTATTATCACAACAAAAATGCTTAAATTTTCTCAAATTATCATGCAGTATTACAATATTTCACAGTAGTTTCTTTAACTACTCAAAATGTCAATAGAACGTAATTCAAAAGCTAAAAGAAAGCTAATCCGCGAATTCGCTACAATCAACAAGAGCAGTTTCTAAGCAACTACAAAACTGAGAGTTTTCCTCCTTTTATAAGATTTAAAAAATCATGCGCTAGAATTTTCCAGTACTTTCTCGAAATCAAAAAGAGATATTTATTTATTTAATGCACGCGGCTCTTGTATTTTAATTTTCTGCTTAGCTTTCTTCTTTTAATATTCGTCACGCGCTGCACTGCGCGGGAAATAAAACCAATTAATTTATAATTGAACTAACATTAGCTTTTTAAGTACCGAATTCGTAACAGTATTTATATATGAAGCTGACTACTGGAAATATTGAATTCATATCGGAATCATTATGAATTTTTAAAGTTTAAGATAAAAAATAATACAGTAGCAGACACTGGAAGAACAGTATTTTTTTTTTTTAGTCTAAAGGGACGTTAGCCCAGAAGGGCTGTTAGTCACGAAAAGGCATTTTTCGTCGAATCACTATAAACGGCCGTATCACTTTTCAAATTGTCGCCACCAAATATTATCACCCTGTATTATATTTAAAAAAATTGAATAATTAAGGATCTGCATGAATATATGTATGTTTCTTGCATTCTGAAAAAACAGTGATCCTGGAAGTATCAAATTTTGAATAATGTAGTCCTCCACCCGAGTATTTACACCTGGGAGCCCATATCTTGAATTTTGAATTTGTTTTATTATCTATTTCATATTTTTTAAACTTTAACGAATTTTTTATTAAGAAATTCAATGATTTCAAGGCGAGCAGTGTCAATACATTATATGAAATAAAATATTTTTATCTCCTGTGCACAAATGTATTGGAAGTTCTAAAGATGTACTGTTTATAAGTATTTTTATCCCAAATGCTCTCAAAACGTGTATGTAATGTGTAAATGAAAAAATGCTCCTTTGGGCATAATATAAAATCTGAAAGATTTTAGATCTTTTTTTTTTTAAAAAAAATATTAAAATGTTATGTGTGTGATATCAAGTGAACCTGAAATATGTCTTCAAAACGTAATTCATTCCATCTGTGTTATCAGATTTAATATACGGTATTTTTACTAGCAAGTGGAGTGCGAATCGTTGTTATTTCTACTTTATTTTTGAAGTAGCGGAAGTATCCGATGGCAGTTCAGTTTGATTGAGTGTAATGGTTCTAACAACAGAGAGAATGATAACACTATAATCCTTCTCTAATAATGATGCAAAAAATTTATCATAATTCATCAGAAACCAGTAACGCAAACAAACATTCTTCTTTATATGTATAGATTTTGTAAAACATACAAATTTTTGATTAACATGCTCTGTGATTTGAAAGCGAGCAATTGCGACACTTTTCAGAATAAAGCATTTTTATCTCCATCGCACGAGACTATTGCCACTCGGGAAAATGAGTGCGAAAATTAATGTTTTTGG